ACAAGAAACGGGTGCAATGAGAATGCTAAAAGTGCTAGAAATAAAGTTTCTTTTAGGGCTGTAAACATAAACTCATTCATTCCATGTGAAAAACACGAATTCCCAAAAAAAAACGTGCCAAAATAGCAACCTCACGCTTAGAAATTGGATTTTTTCGCTCCTCGTTTTTCATCATTTTCGAAATTGTCCGTGTGCATTCCTTCACCCGCAAATTGTGTCGTTCCATGGTTTTTTGGCAGAGCCGAAAACGTTTGTTGAAGAATTCATAGGGTACCCGAAGTGTTGAGTATTCCAGCGATTCGATATCATCCGGTGTTCTCGCTGCATCCGCTGATGCACCTGGAAAACTCCCTTTAGCCATTTCAAAAACCAAAACAGTGTGCTTGAAAGAACTGGGAAATGAAGAGTACCTCCACTTTTGGTACTTTCACTCGATTCAAGCGACAACGATCCAGAGGACATTGGCAACTGCTATAAGCGTGTGAGAAAATATATAACCTGAAAGGGAACGAATCACAAAAATTTTACTTCAGCGTCCAGGGCCACCAAAAATGCCTAAAATTTGCAGAAAATGAAGCATCAAGGAAGATAAAAATTTCCGTGAGAATGACATTCTGAAAGCAGACGAGCTGCTGTTTGAAGGAGGGGAAAAAAGCAGGATCGGACAAGAAAATTATCGGAAAAATTTAGCTCAAAGTGCAGTTATTCCACAGATTTGCCAGGACTTCCTCTTCCAATTCATATGAGTAGGGGCAAAAATAAACCAGAAAAACACATACATTAAAAAAATAAATACGGGTGTGTGCCAAGCAGCTGGTGCGATCATGCGTTTTGTGCAATTCCGTCCATCGCCTGCTAGTGATTTTCACTGCTGTGAATTTAAATAAATAGCAACGCGCACCAGACTAGCCGGTGCGATCATGCGTTTTGTGCAATTCAGCCCATCGACATAATAAATAGCAACGCACACCAGACTAGCCGGTGCGATCATGCGTTTTGTGCAATTCAGCCCATCGAACGATTGCTAACGCGCACCAGACTAGCCGGTGTGATCATGCGTTTTGTGCAATTCAGCCCATCGAACGATTGCCTCTAATGATTTTCACTGCTCTGTACTTTTGTCTATGCAAAAATAGTTCAAAAACTGGAAAATAGTTAAAAATTTCACGCACCAGCG